GGGTTTTTGTCAATCTGACAAGTCAAAATTGGTATTTTAGAGTAACTGTGATCTTTACTCCTTACAGTGAGTGGAGTTGGTCATCTTTCATATAGCACCATTCACCTCTTTAATCTGTAAAAATTTTGAGATTATAGATTCACATGCAGTTGTAAGTAATAGAGGCCTGAGGGTGCCGCTCAGTGGTAGAGCACTTGTCGAGCATTCATGAGGCTCTGGGTTCGATCCCTGGCACCACAAAATGAAGAAAATACTACAAGGACATTTTGTGTACATTTTATGTAGTCCTCCTCCCCATGATGATATCTTGGAAAATTGTAGTACAATGTCACTGAGACATTAGACATCTAGACATTGAGACAGTCTAGATGTAGAGCAGTTCCTTTTTATGTGGCATTTTTATGTCAACTGAAGACGAGGTGAGTGTATTACTCCTCCCATGATTTGCCAAAAATAAATGTAAAAACAGACCCAAGAAAAACAGGCTCTCTGCACTCAAGTAGAAAAGAGCAGTACAATAGGCAGTTGCCTTTTAACCGTGTCTGTTCTAGGAAAGAGCGCCAGGAACCAAGCCGTGCCATGGTACCCAATGTCCCTTCACCAGAGCCAGGGGAGCCTCACCCGCCACGGCCTATGGTGGGACTCGGAATTTCTCTACTTTTTATGTCACCTGGCCAAAACTCTTGTCCATTTTCCCATAATATTTCCAAGTCAAGTATGAAATATTTTGAGAACAAAGGGGTTTGGCTTCATTGAAGTCCTTGGCAAGAACTTGGTGGCAAGTACTTGGTTGTGGGCTACTGGGGGAAAAACTGAGCCTCATTCACCTCCCCACCCACAGAACTCAGCACAGTGCCTGTAACATAGTAGGTGCTTAATAAACACTAAAAATAAAAACTTGGGATTGGAAAGTCCAGAGAACAGGTTGCTAATTTACTTGACAAGATGAAAGATGGCAAGACCAGTGTATTCCAAACACTTACACCAAGATCAAGGGAAAAATGAGTAAGAAAGAGGAAACCAGATCCTCTTTACCTGAACAAAGCACTTGAGATTTCATGAAGACTGCAGGAAAATAAAGTCACCATTTTTGTGATTCCAACAAAGATGGCGTAAGCACAGAGAAAAGCAGATGGACGGGCAGCTGAGAGGGAAAACTGTGTCAAAGAATGTTAGAATAATCCTTGGAAACCGGACACATATAAACACTACCTCAGATGTCAGTTCTATTCCAGAGGTAAATTAACACTTTCCCTCTGAGAAGCTAAACAGGTGGCTGGTTTCGGCACCCATTTTGAGACTCTCAAACCAAAATATTAAGTGTCATCTCACACATGGGAAGGATGACTTCACTTCTCATGTTTGTTGTTTTAAAATTAAGTAAGTTATGGGTTTTAAAAATATTAATCTCTAAGGTTTAGCCTAGTATTTTTTTTTAATACGTTGAATATGAGTCCCGCTCTCTGGTCAGATGTATTTGTAGCTGAGTCGACAGACTTTCATGATGGCCCTTAGTAGTCAAAACACTGATCCTGATTAACAAAACCCAACAAGTATGAGGTACATGTGTTAATGGAATAGTAATTTAGAACGTGTGAACTTACTAGATTGCAAATCGTGCTCTGGCAATGCTAGAAATAAAAAAATGAGTTAGTGATCACTACTCTTAGAGACGTAGGTAAGTCTTTAGAAGGAACAAAAACCCTGTAATCAAATAAACTGAACAGTGTAAGCTATGCTTTAATAAGGTTTATGTATGGTAGGGCAAGAGGCACAAGTGGTAAATTTTCCTTAGGTTGGCCAGGAAAGGCTTCCAGAGGGGCTTACTGGTCTGAAGAGTTGTGTAGAAGACCCTCTGGGGAAAGTGGAGGAGGGTCTGCAGAGGCAAGCACATGACACAAGTCCTGGAGCAGTGGTGAGAGAATGAAAAGGCAGGCTGAGAACAAGAGGCAAGTCCTGGGCAGACAGAAGTCAGATCATTGTGGTCTGGTGTGCAAGCAGAAATAGACATTATCTACAGGCAATGGGGAGCCACTGGAAGATTTTAAGCAAGGTAGTGCTTTAAAAGACACAATTCTTAGCCCGACATAGTGGTGCAGCCTGTGATTCCAGCACTCTGAGAGGATGAGGCAGGATTGCAAGTTCAAGCCTATCCTGAGAGACTTAGTGACTTAGCAAGAACCTGCCTCAAAAGACCTTTTACAAGGGGGGCGGAATGGGCAGGAATGTAGCTCTGTGTGAAGGACTTGGGTTCAATCCCCAGTATGGGGGGATGGGGGACAGAGAGAGACACACCCCACAATCTCTGTTGAAACCTGAAAGATGGATTCAAGAAAAAGCCTTGCATAAAAGGAAAGAGAGGATCTGGTCAATCTGGGAAGTTTTACAAGAAACAAAAGACCAGGTGGGTTGGAGAAGTGAGGCTGGGTTAATGTTGACTGCACAGAGGAAAAAAATTCAGAATGACTTAAACAGATTTGTCCCTTGAGTTACTAAGTGGATAGGAAAACACAAAGGCAGACTAGGCTTTGAAGGGGAGTATGATAAATCTAGCTTAAGGACAGTTAAGTTTTGGGTTTCTGTGAACAAACAGGGATGACCAATAAATTGATAAAATGGGTTAGGAGCTAAGAAGAGATCTGAGCTCAAGGTCTAAGCTTGGGCGTTGGGGGCGGGGGTCTGCAGCCAATGCATTAAAGTACGAGAGATCACTTGCTGCATTTGGCTATGTGAATTTGGTTAAAACTCAACAATACAGCAAACCCAGTTCCCCATTAGTACCAATCACGTTTCAAGTTCGTAAGAGCCACTTGAGGGTAGTGACTGCTCCCTGGGGCAGCAGACATGTGGAGCATGTTTATCGTCACAGGACGCTCTACTGGACGCTGTCAGAAAGCGTTGGTCAAAAGATGGGATGTGGTGGAGTGGGAAGAACAGAGGGGAAGGAAGATAGACCTTCCAAGAAAACTGAGGATGGGGACAAAAGCCAAACCTAAAAGCCAAGGTAAGAAGGAGGAGCTCAGGCACACAAGGACATTTAACTTCTTCAGCTGTGACACAAAGGGAAGCTGAGTAACTAGATACCTCCTATGCACTAAGTACTGTAAAACAGGCTTTCCCTTTGTCTTCCTACAGTCCTCAATCCTCTGAGGAAACAGACTCATCACAATCTATTGCTGCAATTTCAATTGTACATCTTTACCAGTTTTACTGTTTACATAATGGGCATGGTGGTGCACACCTGTTAATCCCAGCACTCGGGAGGCTGAGGCAGAAGGATTACCAAAAGTTCAAGACCAGCCTGGGCTACACAGTGAGTTCAAGGTTTCAGTCTGGACTACACAGTGAGACCCTGCCTCAAAAAAAAAAAAAGAGAAAACAAAACCACACACACACACACAAAGAATGCCGTATCATTCTTTAAATATGATTCTAGAAAATCTGCATAAGAAAAGTTTTCAATGTAAAACCAGACTGTTCAGTGGGCCAAGCACTGCACCAATATTCTATCCTGGTTAGCTTAACCATTTCAGTGATTTGCCAGTAGTTACTATTATCCTCAATTCAGGAATCAGGAACCTGAGGACCACCCAGCATCAAAGTGTACTAACGACAGGGATCCCTGAACCCAAACTCCGGTCAGTCTGATTCCAAAGTCTTTCTTGTAACTTTTACCATCCAGAGCCCTCCTAGAGGTTTACTGCACATTGCTGTAGAATAATTATTTCAAGTACCCTTCTGAAGAGTTATGTTTACAGCTAAGAAATATTATACGCATAGGGAAAAGCTGCTCTTACAAAGATGCACAGCAAACCAGTGCTGCATTAGATAGAAAAAAATCAGTGTTTACAAAGTTCGCAGATGAGCAAGCATCTCATCAGATGGCATGAAGTTCTCCGGGTGTCTCTGCCCTACGTTTTACACCCAGAAGATGTAAAGACCTTAAGGTCTATGTGATACAAGATCTTCCGGACCACATATTTAAACTGATGAAACCGGAAGGAATATGTTAGCAAAGTAATTCCAGCACCTCAACATGTTAGAAGAATGTGCTAAGATCCAACTTTTATATTTTAAGCTGTGTACTGCATTTTAATTGTGGTATAGTTGAGTGATGTTATTTTTTCTCCAAGTATTTAAACAAGAGCACATTTCTTAAGACTAGCCTTTTTCTAAATAAAACCACTTTGGTGAGTGATGTCCACATACATGTGTTTAAAGATAGCACCCCACATGTGTATTTATAAGGTTCTGAAATGAAGATAACCTGTTTCATCAGAGGGACACATTAATATCACAGGTAGGAACCTAGGGCAGACTAACCTAATTAGATTTTATGATTTTAAATGATGTGATTAAATGTTTATGATTCAATGACTGGCTTTATTTGTGATACAGTGACAATGTCTTTGTAGATCATACTTATGCATAAAAATTAATCATACTTAGAATTAATTATACAAACAGCAAGTTGATCTCACAATCTAGTCCCAGGGTATTTGAGAGACTTGACTGTTTGGCTTAAATATCTTCAAAACTACTTGACACCTAAAAAACAAGTAAATCTTGGGCTGGGGATTTAGCTCAGTAGTTCTGCCGCCTGCCTCGAAAGCGCAAGGACCCAAGTTCGATCCCCAGTACCAAAAAAAAAAAAAAAACCAAGCAAATCTGCATTAACACAAAGGTTTAGGTTTGTGAAGTTGCACAGGGAGAAGAATCTCTGAGCTAAAACTGAATTCTTGAAATTATCTTGATACAACAGATTAACAACTGTGTTAATGTACAATATTTAAATATGGATGCATCTTTTTTGAGGTAGAAACTGCAAGATGATCTTGAAATGGATTTTAGGTATGATCGCCTCAGGCTTATGCTGCAACTCTTAAGGTCAGTCGAGATTATCAACAGTAATTCAATTTGAAACATGAAAACAAAAAAAAAAAAACCCAGGTAACCCGAAAAGGGTTCCTAGGAGAAAATAATTACATCATCACACAAAATCTTTAGAACATTATATTTCATAAAAGACAATGATAAAAAAGTACAAACATTTCCATGAGAAGCAAAAAGAAGAAAATGAGTACAAGAAATTGCCAGCATTTATTTCAGTGCATTTATGTAGAAGCCTTTCTTAATCAAATAATCTTAAGTACACTTCCTCTTTCTGATAAACAATGCTATGAACATTTTAGTTCTCAGCTAGCATACTTGCAAATCCAAGACAATAAATCCAGAGGTCTATTAGTCTGAAAATCACATAAAGAAATGGAACAAGAGACAGACCAAAGCCAAATAAAGTGACACAAAATTTTCTTTTGCTTGTAGGGAGCATCCAGAAGGAGAATATTATACTGGATATTGTTCCATTTTGCTTTAAAATGGGTATCAGTATCTTGGCTGATAAAACAGTGTAAGTTTTTAACACAATTTTATATTTATATAATACTATAAATAAGGTTTTCCTACTGAACACCTTTTCACAAAATACAAACAGAAATTTAGATTTTTTTTTTTAAAACCATCCTTGTTGAACCCTAGTTTTGGTGAAGAATTGAATGACTATCTTCACTATGAATCAGACATAATGTTACAACAAATGTGTATACATTTTCCCTTTTCTTTTCTACAAACAGACTCTTTAATCACTACTTCTTTCTCAAATTGAAAGACACCAAAGTCCCCAGTGGCACCATAGGGACATCCTGATCTACATCCACATAGTCAGCTGATTTTGAGACTAAGAAGTACAGCAGACACTTTACCTATCAGAGGACGACTTTATGATTTCAGAAAGATTTCAACTTCCTTGACTTGCTTTGTTTAAAAATGAAATAATACTTTTAAATAGACACGCCAGCATTGCACCTGATACAGGAAGCAATCAATACACATTCATTAATAAATCCACTAAATATACTATAAAGAGGACTGTTTACAGTTGCAATGTATTTTTTGTTCTTTAGGAAACAGATTTTCTGTCATATAATATAACTGGGAAAAACATGGCATTTTCAGAAACAGATAAATGTTACTGTTTACAGCCAAAATAATTTTAGGTCTGTACTAAAAAATTTTTAAAACGCAAACTGGTGAAGTGATTTCCACAGGATAACATACCATATTCAAAACAGCAAAATACTTACATTCCATTCTAATAATAAGGCAAACACTAGTAGTACTGAATTCTCTTGAAACAGTGAAATGTGTATCAAAACAAAAAGATTCCAAATGTGGACAAATTCTGCATTAAAATGAAAAATGTATTTCCTTAAAAAGACTCAAATAACATTAATTTTTCCCACAACTAAAATACTTCAGTATTATTGGGTTAATTATGTTCCCAAGCTCCTTGTATCTTGCTAGCGGTCCACAAACATTAATTATTATCACTCCACTTTCATTTCATCAAGAAACTATGTTGGCTGTGAGAGACAAAATGAACAGACACATAACTTAGGTACAAATGTCTTAATTTTCAGAAGGTTTGATTTTTTTTTTTTACTATTTTGAATATCACCCCCAAAAATGAAATGTTTTGGAACTATTTCTAAGAAGTAAATATGAAAAGGTTCTGTTTGGCATCAGAAAGAGAGGCTATAAAGTTTTTAAACTGTAAGATTTTCAATTATTTTATAATTTGGTTTATGATCATTTCTGTTACTGAAACTGCCACAGAAAATGACACTTCAAAATTAAACTTACAACCTGAGATTAAAAGAACCACATTTCTAGGGCTGGGGATTTAGCTCAGTGGTTTCACCGCCTGCTGCACAAGCACAAGGACCCGAGTTCGATCTCCGGTACCAAAAAAAAAAAAAAATTAAAAACCACATTTCTGTTTTAGGTGAATAATCTATAGGCAAATTTTACTCAAATATTTCTTATTATAGAATTCTATTACTCTTCATTGTTGAAGATTCACTTTTTCTGGTTTTACATTTGTGAAAATGTTGTAAAATATTTTAAAGGATTTTTCTAATTAATGCTTTTCAAACTAAGAATGTTGTTTGGTTTTGCCTCAGAAAATTTCGTCCAATTTTAAGATAAAAATACTTGTAGTCAGGAAATAAGACCTGTTTTCAAAAGTATATATTATAATAGTGTATTTAACTAACTGACAATGTATTTTAAGATAGTTCTATTAAATTATACTTTTAATGAGGAAATTTTAATAACATCAAAGATTTCTTGAAAGTGGAAAAAATATAATTTGAATTTAACTGCTGATATTAAAAGGGTTCCTTTTCAAAAGTGATTTAAACTTAAAATCAGTCTTTATCTAAGCATTTATATTCATAAAAATAGAACATTTAATTTCTTATCTAATAGTATAATTAATCTGTATAAGTACTAATGGGTTTTTCATAGCTCATTCCTTAAAAAAAGAAAAAAACTAACTTTTAACTTAATGATTGTTTTGGCTCTTCTGAACTGGAAATAATAAAAGTGCTATATACTATGAATTAAAAAAAACACACAGTGTATAAACACACAACCTTGGGAACATTTTTAGAGGCACAGAACCCCTGACACTTACACCAGAGGTACATAAAAGAGATTTAACGTAAAGAAGTCCTTTATATCATGTCACATCACAACTTTTAAGATTTCTTGGTAATACTCATGCAATATGCATAAATGATATGGTGTTATTTAGCAAAATCTGATGAGATTGCAAGCAAGGAAAAAAGGTAATTCTGGCAGGAAGAAAAGCCATTTAAATCCTTTCTTTTTTCCCTTTAAAGCCCTCAGAAAGCTTAGCTGTGACTTCTTCCACATGAGAGGCTGAAGGTCTAAAGCTGAAAACTAGTATAACAGTTTACTGTATTAGTTTGCTGTCAATTATTGACAGTTCCTTCATTTCACACAAGGGTTAACCTTTGTTTAGTGACATAAATTTAGTTTTTTTCCCATGCAAATAAAAAATGTCTATAAAAGTCCAATAAAGGCATAACCGATTACATGCAAAACTGTAATACTTATTTTTAAACAATTTGAACACAATATAATTTACATCACCTATGTACAAAATAGGTTGAAACAGAAATAAAAGCATTCTCTTGGATTAAATTATAGATTTCAGTATAAAAATTTTCTCTTTGTAGGGTCCCTCTTCACTTCCAGTCTTTAGCAATGGCTTCCAGCTTCTGCAGTGCTCATCACGGGACGTGACTCAAAGAGGGGAGGGGAGGGGAGAAGGGCGACTGGATTTAATCCCACACTGTAAAATGGTGGACGCTGGCTCTTCTCTGCGATCAGGACACTGAAACACATCAAAGCACTGACCTCCAACACGAGTGGACTCCAGGTTTCTGGTCCAGCACTGTGGTCCACCTGACCACAGAGCTACCTCTTTTAATAGTCTTCGATTGGAGCTAACTCTGGCATGAGGTTTACAGATATATTTGTATACAACCTATCAACCAGTATTTTTGGAGTGTATAATAAATTGTTCAACCCATCGATGTACTGACGTTCTTTAGAATACCTTAGTAATTTATACCTACAGTGTTAGAGGGAAAAACAAAAAGTTACAGAAAACAAGTTCAAAAAAGGAAAGCTGATGGAAAACATGTCCTAGATAGGATGTCTTATAATTAAAGCATTTAAAGCTCTTCACAATTTCAGGTTCTTATGCATAATAAAAAAATCTCTAGATCATTAATTCCAAAATAAGATTTTTACTAGTCAAAAACTGCCACTTTAAGAAAAAAGCATTTCACACTTTGACAATTTAGACAGCTTTAAGAAATAAAATGTGTTATGTTCTGTGTTAAGGAAACTTTTTTTTTCAACAGTTAACTGGGTTCTTTAAATAACATAAATATATATGTATGTATATATGCATATCTCTTTAAAACAAGCACAAAAATGTTTTCTTTCCATAAGGAAAATTCTCTTCAGCAGAGATTTTGAGGGGTGCAATTTTTTATTAGTGCAGGTTTATAGCACATAATGATTACATTCACTATGGAGTGTCGGTACAGAACATAACACATCTCAACTCTTTCCATTTCCCCTTCTCCTCTTCCTCCACCTCTTGGTTCCCTTCCCATCTGCAAAAGATCTATCTCTGTTTCCAGTTCTATTTTTTTACCTCCTCACCAACTCCTACCTTACCAAGCTCACAGTTAAAAACAGCTCACCTTGGCTTTCATGGCACACAGATTTCTAAGAAGATGGAGCTAAAGCCGAGAGCAGGGTGCAATGTATTTTTGTTTTTTGGTACCAAGGATTGAACTCAGGACCTTGCGAGGCAGGTGGCGGCACCACTGAGCTAAATCCCTGGCCCAGGTGCAATGTATTTTTAACCTCCCACATATTAAACAGCTTTAAAAAGACTTGGTATCTGAAAATAACATTAAACTTACCGTCCTAAAAACTGGACTTCCCCTCGATGATGATGAGGAATAGACTTGTATTTCCCTAAATCTCCCTCTGGTCTGGTTACATTATATCCAGCATAGTGTACTCTACAATACAGCATAAAAATACATAAAAATGGATTGTGTGAGTTCAATTTCAAGATGCAAAAGGATGCTCTAACATGTATGCTGCCAATAATTCCAAAAGAAACTCTTTATGAAAGAAAGGGAGAAATTCAAACAGGATTTAGGAACTTCAAAAGTTTTCCAGCCTAAAGAATCCTTTCTTGGAATAGGTATGATTTACTTAATAGAAAGTAAGTTTAGAAATTCTATTTCTAAGCAATTTGTATCTAGACATACCTGTTCCAGAGGTCATCATCTTCTCCTCCCCACCCCCAGAAGGCATTAGGGAAACCATTGATCTTTCCAAACTGTTCCACTGTCAGTCCACTTACACCACCAAAAAACTCTTTATATGGAAGACTGAAAAAGAAATCAGGACACAGCACTCTATAAAGAAAATTCTAACAGTTTGCTATATGAAATCAAACAATTAGGATAATTAAATAGTATTCTGGAAATGTAAAGTAAACCAAGAACAAACTATTTTACATTCTAGTGAAATAAGTACATGTGTTATGCTAAATACAAAATAAAACACTTGTGACAAATGAAATTTAATATTTAATATTGTCTCTTTTTAACACACAAAGCCCAGTGTTCAAAACTTACATAATATTCTTGTAACAAAAACAATCTTGATTAAATATATTAATAACTGTCAACATGTTAGATTTTGCTAAATTAATATTTTTTAAAACCAAACTTATTTATCAATACATTATTAAAAAGAACAGGACAGATATAAATTAGAACAGCCATTCAATTTCATTTTGAAATGACTAGCTACCTATTTGTATAATGATTTTTTGACTGTTTTTTGCTTTCTTTAAAAAAAGGTCCATGTAGCCCAGGCTGGCCTTGAACTCAACCTTCCTGCCTCAGCCTCCCAGGTTGAATGCTGGAAATTTCAGGCATGTGTCACCACCTAAAATGATCTTATCTCTTTCTATTACACTCACAAAACACTCATGGATATTTACAAATATATTTTAATGTACTAATATTTAGAGAACCATATTTTTAAATTTGGGTTTTATTTATCCTTTCCTAACTCATATTCCAAGGAATTGATAAACTAATATTTTTAAGCTACATTTTTAATAATCTAAGTTAGTTTAGATATGATTAGTTTTCTCATGTCAAGGTAGTACCCCTAAACCTCCAGTCCTGAGTCAATTCCTACGGCACAAACCGTGCTTTAAGGGAGTAGTGTATCCTAAAGGGTCTTTGAAAGGGTCAGGTCAATGTGCAGCACCAGCAGAGAAAATGTGACTACACAGAACACCCAAAACCAAGATGAAGGAAATCTGGCTGGGACCAGAGCAAAACTGTCTCAGAGAAAGGCAGGGTGGAGATTTCCTATTATGTCTGCAGGACTCAACTCATTTGGTGTGGGGAACAAGTGCCATTTGTCACGGGATCTTATGTGGCACACAGAACCAGAGAAAAGCAGCTCCCAAGTCCAGCCCAGGGTTGCAGGAGAAAGTAATTTCGCTCTTTCCCTGAGGTAAGGACCATCCCAAGACAGTAACTGTAACACTAAAGACAAGCATACCACCTCATGAGACCCCACAAGGCTCACTTGAGAGCACAGGCTTCTAGTGAAAATGCCGACGGGTTCCCACAGGGACCAGAAAGTGTCCTTAGCAGTGTTGAATTTCCTACACCAGCTGGATTATTTGTGCCTAGGCTAATGGTTTAGCAAAATCCAACCTCATTAGGTAAACAGATATGAATAAATGTGTGTGCTCTTACTGGCATGTATAAACCAGCAAGCATATCACTTCTATTTGCTGTTGCTTAAGGAGAAACAACCAACTGCATTATAAACACACAATGAGAAAAGATCAGATAAAATAAAGGTACAACAACAAAAACTGAGTGAAATCTTCTAGTGTTTATCCTACACTGTCCAAAGCAGGAGAGATACCAAACCTGGGCCTGAGTTTTCCGGTCAGCAGGGACCAGAACGTGAACACCAGCATGGGAAGCAAAGCTTACCCAGGCTGCATCCCACAGCTGAAGGCTGTGCACGACCCAACCCACCATGGACCTGCACCTGCTCTCCCTCAGCTATACTTCCTGCCATGCAGCCCACTCATCCTAGGACTGGTCCAAGTGGGTATGAATATTCTGTTTATTAAACTTTTAAGTACATTAATTCTGAATTCTCAGTTTGCATAATCTTTAATCTTTATGGTACGTTTCAATGAAAAATCAGTTATCCTAGATCTAATATGACTCTAGCAGGCTCACCAAAAGTTAAGTTTCCTGATATGCTAGGAACCCATCAAGAACCTTGATGGCCTCTACCAGATAACCCCAAACTTGGGAGTTTAGACAGAGGGGTAATGAGGAAAAGGTTTGCTAACCACCCCCTCAATAAAAGGAAAAGAAAGAAAAAATGATAAAGTATTTTTTGTTTTGATGCCAATTCATGGCTTGTGTCATTGAGACTTTGTGCCTCTCTCTACTCTGTACGCTGGACACCAGCCCAAACTATTACGCTGGCAACATCTTCCCTGCTCCAGGCAACAGTCTTCGTTTTTCCACTTCCATTAGGTCATGAAGTTTGTGATCTCCTTCCCAGATTAGACCTGCATTCCTTGATGTCAAGTTAAGTTACTCTCACAGATCTCATAACTGTTTACATTTAAGAGCTTTTCAGTCAGAAGGTAAAAAGAACAGTGTCTTATAATTAAGGAGCAGGTCAAGAATATAGAGTTTAGGGAGAAAATACACCGGAGAAGAAAGGCTTTCATGGCCCAGAGCCATCAGCAGAATGAGAGAAGGCAGAAGTCAGCCTGATCACACACCCACAGCTCGGGCAGGTGATACCACAGAGCATCCCTCCATGTGGTTTCTATTATTCCAATGCAGAGGAAACCAACCTGGTGAGGTACACACAACTCACCAAGTCCTACAAGTGTGAAGAACTAAATTTAAATCTCCACTGCCTGACTAGGGAAACCAGGCTCTCTTTTCCACACACCACACTCAAACCTCTGTGTAAGGAAGTGCCCAGATAGATGCATGACAAGCCACTCTATGCTGTGGCTCCCCAGGAAGACAGGCTGGAGGCACATGATATTGTTTACGCTCCTGAATGCTCTAGACTTTGGCACTCAATGCTGCTACACCATTTAAATGCTATAACTGTACAAGTGTATCATATGATGTTGGGAACAGTGGACACTTACATATACATGTATTTATCCAGCTTTGCTGCAAAGTGACGCGGCATTTCTCCACATCCATAGTAGTTCCGGTCATTTTCAGGGAGATGATCCACATCGTGGAAGATCACACAGTCCCAGACACTGTCCTTCATGGCTTCTTTGAACCCCACATTGAAGAGCATTGCACGGTTAAAAGGCTGTGTGCCAGTCTTCAGCAAACACAAAAAGAGAAGTGTGAGACTTTGTCATGTGACTTTCTACTGTTTTGTTCTAATTTGCTGAATCAGGGTCAATTAAGAAAAACAACATCCAAATTAAATAGACAAGTCATAGCCATATGCCAGCATTTTCAGATATATGGCATCGCTTAACAGTGGGGACACTTTCTGAACAATGTGTCATTAGGTGATTTCATCAGTGTGCAAATATCTAGTGCGTTTATGTAAATTAAGACAGCCACCCTACCATCAGGTGATATCGGGACCACTGTTGTACATGGAGTCTGAGACTTAAATGCCAGTGCACAGAGCATGATTGTGTAGTCTTTAATTTTTTCTTACTACATTATTTTATTTTGGTAACACAGAAGAAATTAGACAGCTGCTATTATCTAGCCCACTAGTACACTGTCATATTTTATTTAATAATGCAGTTCATATTTTTGCTTCATTTCAATGTATCAGGCCATGAATTATTTATGATAAGAAAAACTAAAAACAGAAGTATCACACTAAAGTAAAAAAATTAAAAACAATACCCATTTTATTTTTCAGCAACACTTTCCATATGCTATCAAGACCTAGGCAGGAAACTAACAGTGACAAACTGTGCCCCTTCTCTTATGTAACGAAGTCCTAAGGTCCCATTTTGTATCACTAATGCTTATAATAAGGACCAAAAGAATCTTAGAGACAAAAACAATTGGAACTTACTACACAAATCCAGCTTATTTCCTTATTAAAGAAAATGTACTAAAGTGCACAGGCAACAGTTTCTATCATTCTTGCTTTGATACAACCAAGATCATTTTAATGGAAAAACTTTACACAAAACTCAACTTTCCATATTGCATCATTTTATTTAGTAGTGAAACTATATTAAGATAGACTGGCAATAATCCTCGTCTATAGAAAATAAAGGGGCATTTACCAATGTTTTAGCAACATTTTTTGAAATAATTTTCAAACTATATACAAAAGGATAATGGTAGAAGTAGATGAGAGACACAATGTGGTCACCACTGGAGTCTGCAGCAAGAGGGGGAAATTATTCATCTTTAGTACTGGGTCTTACACTAACTTTGAGGTTACAAATCACTTTACTTTTTATGGCTTTTCCACCAACGAAACAGAATAAAAGGAAAGAGGTAAATTATTATTAACATTGACATAAGCTTTGAAGGTTTTTTTTTTTAAGACAAGGTCTTGCTATGTAGCCCAAGTTGGCCTCAAATTTATGGCAATCCTCCCGCCTCAGCCTCCCAAGTGCCTCTTTAGGATTTTAACATTTGTTTTTATTACATATGGACAAAATACTTAATGCTCACAGCAAAAGCAAGAAGTTCCATGTCTAACCTATCTTCATCAGCCAAGCCAAGAATGATACATTTCAACTCTTTTAGCTGTTTATTCTGGTATTATTTTTCCATATTTTGAAGTAGTAAGTGTTCTAACATTTTTTACTTCATTAACATCAGACACTGTCTACTGCCTTCTTACCATGAGGATGGAAGAATTAAATCACCACTGGATCATTGCCCTTCCCTCCAGTCTCCCAATACATGCTATAATTTTTTAAATCAATAGAGTTTACATTAGGACAACGTAAATATTTCTTTAGTAATGAAAGAATTAATTATGCTCTGTCAAACTCAGATTAACTATAGTTTTCTATATAACTATTTGTACAAAAGGTGTTGGGATGCCCCACACCTACTAATAATCCAATCTCTATCCATTCCTTCTCCACCTCTCCAGCTCAACTCCCTCTGCCCTTACTCCTTGCTTGCAGTCTGGACTGGCTGCTGTTCAGACCATGTGCATGTGTGTGTATGTGTGTTTAATCAAAGAATGATTGAAAATCCCACTATCTACCCTCACACTTGAACTGGCAATTTCATCAGGTAGAAGATTCTAGATTGAAAATGACTTTTCCCTCGACCTTGAAAGATATGTGCAACAGTCCCCTAGCTATCAGTAACGCTAACTAACCAAGTTCGTACATTTATGACTCCATATGCTTTGCAGTGGATCTAATACTATTCATATGAATCTAGAGTCATGTCTTCATTTCTGAGAAATTGTCTTATATTTTCTCCTTTGGTCATTTCCTCCCACACCTTTCAATTTTTTCTGTCACAGCTTTTTCAGAATTCGAATTAGTGACTGTATTAGTTACCTAATACGTACTTAATGACAGCAAAAGTTAGTGGTTTAAAATTAAAGCCAGAGGGGCCAGGGATTGAGCTCTGTGGTTCCAGAGCCTGCCTCATAAGCACAAGGTCCAGAGGTTCAATAACCAGTACCAAAAAAAAAAAAAAAAAATTAAAGCCAGAGGCTGGAATGTGGCTCAGCAGTAAAGAGCTAACATCCATGAGGCCCAGCGTTCCACCCCCAGCACCAGGGGGAAAAAGCCAGCAAGCATTTATGATGCTGACCATTTACTTCTGTGGAGAGGGAATTTGGGAGCAGATAAAAGAACCTCATCTCCGCCCCACTGAGTTCAGGGCCTCCCTGGAAGACTGGAAGGCTCCCAGCACAGGAGGATCCTCTCCCAGGCGCACCCACACATGGCTGGCAGGATATGCTGCAAGTCATTCTTCTCTATGGGGCTGCCTGAGCAGGGCACAGCAGCTGGCTTACCCAAGAGTTGAGCCAAGACAGGAAGGCAGAAGCAGCAATGTCTTTTATGACCTCACCTCAGAAGTCCTATACTGCCACTGCCAGCGGCAGTGGGCTCCCCAGGCAATTCACCCTGGCTCCTCAGGGGCCATCTCGGAGGATGACAGTACTTTTAGGTCTATCCATTCTTTCTTTTTTTTATTTTACTTTATTTATTTTTTTTTTAAATTTTTTTTTATATCCATTCTTTCTTATGTTTTGGTTCTGTTAGAGGTTATTTCATCTTCCAGCTGTGCTATTTAAAGTTTTCAGTTATCATATTTTCATTTTCAATAATGCTCATATTCTATCACTATTCTTTATATCTTGTTTCTGTTTCATAGGTTATCTTTCATTATCTTTTCTTCACTCTGTGGATCACGATTATTAGTTTGTCTTGACTCTATCCCTGACTCCACTGTTTAAAGTACTATTTCCACTATTTTCCACTTTGGTTTTGTTTGGTTTTGTCTAGCTAGGGGAGACTTTCTTTAAAACCTGAGGATCCTGGGCTGCCTACTCATGTTGTGAATAAGACACTATATGTAAAGCTAAAGGAATCTCCACATATGTAGACAAGAACTGCTTCATAGCATTCGACTCACACATACCCACACGGTCCCCAATTCAAACTAAATAACAAACAAAAGCTCCATTCCCTTCCTCTGGTGTTCTAAAAATGGAAAGGCTCTTCCTTACTCAAGACAAAAATCCCTGGGATCATGTTTGGCTGTCATCCGTTTCTTACATGGCGTATCCGATATGCAGTGAATAACTACTTCTTAAAACCCAACCACAGCTCACTACTTCCTCCACTTCCACAGGCACCTAAGTCATCCTTATGGACAATTGGAAAAGCTTTCTCCTTGCTCTCCTTATTTCGGCCCTGTCCCACCTACAGCTTAGTCCCTACATAGCACCCAATGTCATTTTTTAAACATTTTTTAGGTTGTCACCTCTCCACTCAAACCTGCCAGGCCCTTCTGACTTCACACAGGGTAACTCAAGTCCTCGCTCTGACCTGCAGTCCTCCACTATTTGCTTCTCACACACTTCTCTGAAGTCCTCTCCGGCACTCTCCTCTATCTAGCGCTCTAGTGACACTGACCTCTCTGCTCACACCACACACCAGCTCCTCCTGCATTGCCCGGAACACAGCTGCCATTAGCCTGGCTGCTCCTGTGTGCTGTTCATGATGCTGAGTTCACCTCCTCAGTTCTGCTCAAGCACTCAGCAGAAAAGAGCTCTCTCCCACTCTCTCCACTCTCTCCACTCCTCTGTCTGGAATCTCAGCCGTGCATGCTGACAGCCACATAGTCACTGACTCTTTCCTTCCCAGGAAAGAGGCTTCTTATCTGCTGTGCTCACTGCAACATGCCTTTTGCTGAGTGAGGAAAGTGGGCTGCAGGGAGGTGACAAAGCGATAAGCTGGCCTTTTCCTCTGGGGAACTCTAAATAATAGATCCTGGGGCTGATCTATTTCTCTAATGAAGTCACCATCCACATCCTACCACAGTTGAGGGATGCACGGATCCCTACATGTCTGCTGGCCTTAACAAGTCAAACAGGGAAAAGGCCTGAGGGTCTCTGGGGTCAGCATCCAGACTTGCTTTATGCCCCCACCATAGCTGTGTCAACACTCAGGAGCTTCCCTGGATTTCTCCAGAGGATCAACTTCTCCTGTTGTATGGGGTACAACAGAGTAATCACCTGACAATACAAAGAGTGGAAATCTGCTTTGTGATCAAACTTTTAAACACTCTCCTTACCACAGCCCAGTGGTTGGGCCTACGCTCTCTGTCGTATTTCAAGGGCCAAGACTGTTGGGGGTTTGAGTCCATGCTGGTCACAACTGCACTCCCTAAGCACCCAGGTCTAAACATGTCCCCTCTCTCTGTCCTTAAGGTTTAGTGACTGAAAGAGACTGTCCTTTTACTCTCATTTGTGGAGTCTGCAAAGGAGAAGAGGTGAACCTATGCACACTCTTTCATATTTAACTAGGATTTTTTGAGCTGCTCTTCAATTGCTCAGCTCTTCTCCTGGGAACCTTCCGCAGAAAAATTACACTTCTATTTCATATATGGTAAAGCTGTTTCTAGCTCAACACTGCAGGCTATCAAATACATGGTCCTGAATTAATACTGACCAAGGCTAAGATTCAGACCTAAGAGGTTTGAAAGTAAAAATATAGATTTTAGCTGTCTTGTAAAAAGATGTCTTCATCACATACACAAAATAATTCAGTGGTACTGAACTCCGAAGAGAATGTGCCTTTAAAATCACACAGACAGACATCTCATCTCCCGGCACATTATGGGACATTTAAGTAT